AGGCCAAGGCAGGTTGCACACGCTTGACCAACAGTGGAGATAGGGACTGCTCTGCTTTAGGGCAGTATAGTGGGTGCTAAAGCTGCTGTTGTGGCTTCTCTACCCCTTGGTTTCGATGTGGGGCAATCATTCAGCTTGACAGAAGCCCTTGTGAAGAGACAGAACAAGAGAGTAACAGAATTGGAAGGGACCTTGGAGGTCTTCCTGTCCAACCCCCTGCTCAGGCAGGAAGCCTTATACCAGGGGTCGGCAACCCGCGGCTCTGGAGCCGCATGTGGCTCTTTCATCCCTCTGCTGCGGCTCCCTGTTGCTGGTCGGCTCCACAGTTGATAGGGCTTTTGATTAGGACAGAGAGAGGAAAAAGGAGGAGACTATGATGGGGGAACCGGACTTCCGGTCGGCTCCAGAATTGAACAGGGGTTTTCTGTTAGGACCTTTGTGGATCTTTGAGTGTTTAAGGTTGCCGACCCCTGCCTTATACCATTTCAGACAAATGGCTGTCCAATCTCTTCTTAAAAACCTCCACTGTTGGAGCAGCCACAACCTCTGGAGCAGGGATGGGCTTCAAAAATTTTAGCAAGGGGTTCTCTGCCCAGTTGCTGGGTGGGTGTGGCCATGGTGGGCGTGGCCTAGCCAGCCTCCTGCACCAGTGCAGGAGTGCGTTTTCACCCTCCCCGGGCTCCGGAGACTTTTCTTGAACCTCAGGGAGGGTGAAAATGGCCTCCCCAGGCTCCGGAGGCCCTCTAGAGGTTGGAAATGGGCTCGTTTCTGGCCTTCCCGAACTTTTAGTAGGCCTGTTTTTCACCCTCCCTGAGCCTCTGTGCACGTCCTGCACTTACCTCCATCCAAAACGGGCCACGTGGGGACTCCTGGGAGGGGCAGGGTGGGATGGGCGGGGCGGGGCCAGCCAGGAGTGGGATTTGGGGGTTCTCCGAACTGCACAGAATCTTAGCTAGAGGTTCTCCCAAACCTCTGTGAACCCCCAGCAGCCCACCCCTGCTCTGGAGACAATTTTTGGAGACCCCTCATTCCAGTTTCTCACAAAGCCAGGTGCAGCTTCACTTTGTGGCATAGCCTTGAGAGGTCCTTCAGAGAAGCAAGGACCACGTTCTCTCTCTTTGAAGATCTGAGAATATTTGAGATCCTCCACCACAAACTCTTAATCGACAAGAAATCTGTCCATTTCAGTTATAGTCCACTTCTTCTTCTTTTTTTTTAGTTCGTTTATTTCACTCAGAGCAAGTTTGGTTGATTCAAAGCAGATTAGCAATCCAATATGTATTTTGGTGTCGCATAGTGTGAGTGACATATTGCCAGTCACACACTATGCCTTTTGCATTTTTTGGTAAATCATTTTGCCTCATATATTGTATTTTGACTTTATTTTTTAGGAGAAATGTGTGCCAGAATCAAGTCTGCACGGATTCAAGTCTATGTGGGCTTTTATATATGATATACTTATCTGAATGGCCAACACAGCTGCAAAATCCACAGGAGACCAAATTTGTCAAGCCTTGCTGAGTTTGGTTAGCAATTTGGTTTGGAAATGAATGAGCTCGCTTTCAAATGTCAGTTAAGCAAATTTCTCTCCCGTCTCTGCTTCAAACCTAACCATGAAAGACTTAAGGAAAAGTGCTTGGGGTTTTCCTCTGTGAATTGAGGGCTGCCTGCAAGCATCTGGTTGGTTATTTGTAGGAAAAGTGGATTACGTGGGATTTTCTTTGAAATTCTTCTAATCCGGCGACATTTTTTTTTTTCGTTTGTTGCCTGCAAACTTGACTCAGCCTGGAAAATGTTCCTCTTGCTCAAGTGGGCAGCAAAATCGGATAGCTTGCAAAATTATTTAGCAAGTAGAAAAATAGAGTCTGGGGACTGAAATAATATAAAAAGCACAAATAAGTGAGTAAATAAAATAAATGCTGCCAGTTATAAAAGCCTGTGGCTTCAAACTGCACTACAAAGAGAGAGGAGAAGGAAAAGGAGGAGGAGGAGGAGGAGGCATTTTAATTTAAGTGTTTATTTATTTAAATGTCTTATCTGCCCAGCCCTAAAGGTGTGGGGCAGATGAATGAGCTTGGTAAAACCAACGCTTAAAAAAAAAACACTAAAACCTTGAGATTCAGAGATTAGCCGAGATGTCTAAATTAAAATTTACAATCAAGATTCCTCCTTCATTATCCTCAATAATCATTTTCCCATTTATAATTTTTTTTAAAAGGCCTGCTTTACTACAGGCACATCTCTGGAGAAACAGGTCCCTCAAATGGCGAAGTGGGCAATCAAAATTACAGGCATTCCTTGGCTTGCGACCATAATTGAGCCCAACATTTCTGTTGTTAAGAGAGACATTTGTTAAGTGGGTTTGGCTCTATTTTATAACCTTTTTTTTTTTTTGCCACAGTTGTTAAATGAATCACTGCTGCTGATAAGTTAGTAACAGGGGTTGTTAAGTGAATCGAGCTTCCCCGTTAATTTTTGCTCGTCAAACAATCACATGAGTTTGGGACACAGCAGTGTCATAAGTTTGATCCAGCTGCCGAGCATCTGAATTTTGTTCACAGGATCGTGAGGCTGTTACAAAGGTCATAAGTGTGAAAAATGGTCATAAGTCACTTTTATTCAGTGCCGTTGTAACTTTGAACGGTCGCTTAAATGAAGTGTTGTAAGTCGAGGAGTATCTGTATTTGACAAAATTACAGTTGCAATGCAGGATTCTCAGTGTTTCTCAGCCTTGAAATTCTAAGATGGATGGACTCCAACCCATCATTCCCCAGCCAGCCACGCTGTTGTTCTACTGCTTCAACTCATCTGGATGGGGAACTAGGGATGCAGAGAAAAGTTTGAGAAGGGGGCATGGGTCACCTTTGGGTCACACTCATGCACATCCCCACACATGCTCCACTGGTCCTCCCAGAATTTTCTTTCAGCTCTTCTCAAGTCCTCCCCATGTTTTGGAGGCCATCATCAGACAGAGTACCTCCTCTGGCTTCTAGCTCAATGTTTCTCAACCTCAGCAACTTTAAGATACTGTATGTGGACTTCAACTCCCAGAACCCCCCAGCCAGCATGCAGCACTTGAAGTTCACCCATCTTAAAGGGGCCAAGGTTGAGACCCCTGAGTGCTGGTCTGAGCAGAAAAGCTCAGAATATCAATCAATATAGATCTTCCTTAAGAGGCAAAGAATTAGATGCAAAGCTGTAGCGTAGGTACTATCTTGCCGGACCATCGTACCTATGTAAAGCATCTCAGGATTGCCCGGTCATCGGCTAAATAAAAGTATAATATAGTTGCCATATAAGGGATGTGGTGGCTCAGTAGCTAAGACACTGAGCTTGTCGATCAGAAAGGTCAGCAGTTCGGCAGTTCGAATCCCTAGTGCCGTGTAACGGTGTGAGCTCCCGTTACTTGTCCCAGCTTCTACCAACCTAGCAGTTCAAAAGCACGTAAAAAGTGCAAGTAAAAATATAGGGACCACCTTTGGTCCATGCGTCTTTGGCATTTAGTCATGCCGGCCACATGACCACGGAGACATCTTTGGACAGCGCTGGCTCTTTGGCTTTTAAATGGAGATGAGCACCGCCCCCTAGAGTTGGGAACAACTAGCACATATGCGTGAGGGGAACCTTTACCTTTACCCTTATGGTTGCCAAAAGGGTAGGGCTACTAAATCTGGGCTGCAAGATTCCAGGCAGCCAGACGATGTCAGCAAAGAGATGGAGGAAAGCTATATTTGATGCTATCTACTGGTCAGTGAGATTTTTGCTTTTTTTAAAATGAGCACATTTTTAAACTGCTGCATTGATAGTGATTCAGTTTCCAAACCATGAGAACTTATCATTCTTTGGTATTCAGCATCAGTTGGATTCCCATTATGAAAAGGCTTGCCATATCCTATCATTTAGAATAGAATAGAATAGAATAGAATAGAATAGAATAGAATAGAATAGAATTTTTTATTGACCAAATGTGATTGGACACACAAGGAATTTGCCTTGGTCCATACGCTCTCAGTGTACATAAAAGAAAAGATACGTTCATCAAGAATCATAAGGTATAACACTTAATGGTAGTCATAGGGTACAAATAAGCAATCGGGAAATAATATCAATATAAATCATAAGGACACAAGCAACAAAATTACAGTCATACAGTCATAAGTGAGAGGAGATGGGTGATGGGAAGGATGAGAAGATGAGAAGATTAATAGTAGTGCAGATTTAGTAAATAGTTTGACAGTGTTGAGGGAATTATTTGTTTAGCAGAGCGATGGCGTTCGGGGAAGAACTATTCTTGTGTCCAGTTGTTCTGGTGTGCAGTGCTCTATAGCGTCGTTTTGAGGGTAGAAGTTGAAACAATTTATGTCCAGGATGCGAGGGATCTGTAGATATTTTCACAGCCCTGTTTTTGACTCGTACAGTATACAGGTCCTCAATGGAAGGCAGGTTGGTAGCCATTGTTTTTTCTGCAGTTCTAATTATCCTCTGAAGTCTGTGTCTGTCTTGTTGGGTTGCAGAACCAAACCAGACAGTTATGGAGGTGCAGATGACAGACTCAATAATTCCTCTGTAGAACTGTATCAGCAGCTCCTTAGAAAAACTGATACTTGGGAAGTCAAAAATAAGAAATTAGTTGTACTCCAGTGAGAACCTTAGTATTGGGGCAACCGCAGGGAAGAATAAAAAAAAATTAGTGGTTTTGATCATGTGAGTATGGCGACTATTTTGCTTTTTTAAAAACATATCCTGCAGATTCCTCTGCTAGATGTAATTCTAATTGGAACGCTTTCTATGCTGTTCGTATTTCAGAACTGGGGTCATTTGTAATGATCTCCACCGTCCTGTGTTAAATGGAACGGGGTTCTTCAGCCATAATTATTGTTTCTTTTTCTTTTGGAAAGAAATGAGGGGTTGGCAAGTTGGGGAAAGAGAGAGAGAGGGAGAGAGAACAAGAAGGCAAAAGAAAGAAAGAAAACAGAATGTGGAACACCCAGGCTTTCGTGTATGTAATGAAAATGGATATAGTAATTTTATTCCTGGTTCACAAATGCAATGGACTGTAAAACAACATTGGGTATCGTTGTGCTCAAAGGAAGGAATTGTTCCAAAGGGCTTAACAAGACCCTGAAATGTTCAGGAAGTCCATATGGAAAACCTCTTGTGGTTTTTTTTCCCCCTTCCTCGAAGATCCGTGTGCTCAACAATTAAATCGAATCCCTACGCCTCTCCTTTGACTTCTGCAAAAAAAAAAATCACAACATTCTAAGGAAGCCAGCAGGAGATACAACCCTGAATCGATTTCTGGCTGACAACATGTGTGGCAGTGAGACAAGAATTTCACAGCTCGCTGCTCATTGCCCCTGCAGACTGCTTTTCGGAACCGAAGAACCGTTCTCATGGTGAAGTTCAGGCCACTACTCACCCACCCGTTCTTCCTTCCTTCCTTCGTGTAGAGCAGAAGTGCTATCCCTCCAGATGTGGTAGCTCGTCAACATCTGGAGATCCCAGGCTTCTCCATCAGTAGCATGAAGCATAGAATTGCTGAGTCTGTTGGAGCTTTCCGGTTTTTGGAATTGGGGGTGGGGGTGGGGTGGGGTGAAAGCAAGGCATGAGAGTTCAGTCATTGTGTTTAAATATTGGCAACCACAGCTTAATGAGTTCCATCTACAGCCCATTTTAAATTAAAACTTTTATCCTGCATAATCCAGAGATAAAGCATTAAAAAAAAAAAAAACCTTCTGCTATTTTTCCAGGAAGTGAACTTATTTTTTGAAACGGGAGCACTGATTACTTTGCCAATATCGTACATTAATGTCATGACAGAATAACAGAGTTGGAAGGGAGGGACCTTGGAGGTCTTCTAGTCCAACCCCCTGCTGAAGTAGGAAACCCTATACCAGTGATGGCTAACCCTTTTGCCATCGCATGCCGGGGGGGGGGGGGGGAAGGTCGCACGCACGCGTGCCCACACCCATAATTCTATGCGCCCCACCCCCGCGTATGCATGCACAACCCCCCCCACTCCCTCCGCTCCTGGCACACGATGACCCGGTAGGCCTGTTTTTCTCTCTCACCTGGCTCCAGAGCCTTTCTAGGAGTCTGGGGAGGGCAAAAATGGCCTTCTCCACCCCCCCACATTTCAAAACATGAGAACCCAAAGGCTGAGAAAAGAGCCAGGTTTGATTGTTTTTTAAAAATTTTATTACAGTATATCTATATATATAAACATGAAAACCACTCAGGCTGTAATCACAAAATCTCCGGAACCATAAAGCCTACAAACCTGAAATTTGCCATGCATGTTCCTCTTGGTTTCTAGGTGCTCACTAAGAAAGGATTTTTCAAAATGACAGTCAGAGCATTAGTATTCCCTACATTATGATTAACACGCTCTGATGCTAAGAGTTCTACTCCCCCTCCCCACCTGAAAAGAAATCTGTTCCAAATGCAAAACACAAGCAGAGGAGAGGAGTTTCAGTTTCAGCAGCAAGCAGGGGATAGGATAGGGGAGGCTTCTGTGGGGCAAGCCTGAGAGAGAGAAGGGGATAGGAGAGGCCCGATCATAACTACTCATTAATTTTCAAGCTGTAAGTGTTGATTTATCACATAGTTTCATAGCGAAGCACAGGTATCCAGCTAGTTGTAAGATAAAAATACAATTAGAAACAAAATTGAGAAAATTAATATTAGTTTTAAAAAGTATGAATGAGTAACTTTACATCCAAAAGTGAACAAAACCCATTTCTTACACATTCTTAGCTAAGACTGGAAAAAGAAAACCAGAGATTCTTTTAAAAATAATGATCTGAGAATCATTTGGTTCATTAGATTTTGCAATTCTGACATGATCAAAGATTGGTTGTGCCTGAACAGCCCACAGCCCACAAACTAGCAAGCCACATTTTTATGTGCCATCAGCCCATGTGGTTATTTAATGGTGGAGTGTGGCTATACAAACCAAAGAAATTGGATTAATTGAGTAAACCATGGTTAAGCAGGCATGCAATTGCAACCCCAAGGAAAGACAAGAATCTAGCAAAAGAAAAAGAAAAAGCAAGCACAGAATAGCCAAAGTGAAATAAAACAGCTGTCAGCACTTCAAGCTTCATTTACTCTAGTGCTGACATAAGAAGGAGAAGCAGAGGCGTCTGGAAAGGGACGTTTGACTTTTCACCTACTTATTTTCCCTGGAGATAATATCCCCTAGGAGATGAGATGGGAGGGGGGAAATTCCTTTGAGCTGGAGTGGTAGATTGGGGTAGAATGACTTGGAAGATGGCCAATGAGTGCAGGGGAGAGGGGAACGGAAAGGGAGGGTTTTGGGTCTGGAAGTCAGTGTTGGCTACGATGAGCCAGGATCTAGAATGTCGTGCTCAATAAATGGGAGTTTTTATCAAAGATTTTGTTTGAAATGCAATTTATTTGAGACGACCTCAAAACTTGACAACAGCCCTTATTACAGTCTTTTATTTCTCCAATTTGTAAATATACCATCATTCATAGCGGAAATGGTTAATATAAAATAGAAGAGAAAACTATGAAAATAGGGCTGGGAGGTGAGATATATGTTTAAAAAAACCCAAAAAGTCCAATTTGTACTTTTTAGCAAGTTTATTAAATTAGAGCCACAATTCAGTTTTGTACTCTCTTGGAGTATACTGTAAGATAACATACAAATAGAAACCAAAATTGAGAAAGTAAAGAAAATAGAAATGTAGAAAGAAGAAAAAAAGGGAAAAGGCTAAAACATATCAAGAATGGTTGTAGGAATTGGGTTATGACTAATCTAGTAAACAGAAGGACTAGGGGAGACATGATAGCCCTCTTCCAATATCTGAGGGGCTCATACAACCTGTTTTCCAGAGTACCAGAAGGCAAGGCAAGAAGCAATGGATGCAAACTAATTAAAGAGAGAAGCAACATAGTATTAAGGACAAATTTCCTGACAGTGAGAAGACTCAGTGGAACAATTTGCCTCCAGAAGTTGTGGATGCTCCATCACTGGAGATTTTTAAGGAGACTGGATAGCCATTTGTCTGAAATAGTATAAGGCAGGAGTGAAATTCAGCAGGTTCTGACAGGTTCTGGAGAACTGGTAGCGGAAATTTTGAGTAGTTTGGAGAACTGGCAAATACCACCTCTGGCTGGCCCCAGAGTGGGGTGGGAATGGAGATTTCGCAATATCCTTCCCCTGGAGTGGGGAGGGAATGGAGATTTTGCAGTATCCTTCCCCTGTCATGCCAACCAAGCCCACAGGTAGGGAAAAAGTTTGAATTTCACCCCTGGTATGGTCTCCTGCTTTAGCAGGGGGTTGATCTAGAAGACCTCCAAGATTCCTTCCAACTCTGATGTTCTGTGAAAAAGTAATGACTTCCAACTTTTTTCAATGCAATAGAATACCAAAAAAAAAGTTACATCCTCCATCTTTTGCTTTACATTTTTAAACATTTCAAGCAGTGGTTTTCTACCAGTTCTACCAGTTTGCCCCGGTTCAGGCGAGCCGGTAACGGCGGGAGGCTCTGCCCACCCGCCGGGACGTCATCATGGATGCTCTGATAGTTCTAAACTGCTAGCGAAGGTAAGTGAAACCCACTACTGGTTTCAAGCTATTTCTATAATAACAAGAAGAGCCAAGTTTTAAAGGGGATTAAATTTCATTCAAAACATGATCCGAGTGCAGACCAGATGGATTTCAAGGGGAATATTATTCCACCAGACAGTTGCTGCTAAAGAGAAGGGACATTTCCTAGATCCCAGCAGATGACGCCGCTTAATGGATGGGCCCTAAAGCAAGTTAACTCTGCCAATTCACCCGCATAAACTTGACTGAGCCTGTTGCATGAATAGCCAATCACTTGCTATCTCTTTCATACTTGCCCGCAAGACTCCTCCTCATCTGCCCAAATGAAGCAGAACAGCTCTCTAGATTACAGTCTTGGCTTCCCTTTGAATGAAACTAGTGGTCAAGATTATCTAGAACTGACACTTGCTAGAAGTTAGAACCAAGTCTTATGGCATCGTTGTTTCTTCATAGTAGAGCGGCGCGGTGGCTCAGTGGCTTAAAGAGGTTGGAGATGTTCTTTTCTCCAGCGGTTCGAGTCCTAGCATTGCATGGCAGAGTGAGTTCCTGTCACTTGTCTCAGCTTCTGCCCACCTAGCGGTTTGAAAGCATGCAAATGCGAGTAGATAAATAGGTACCACTTTGGTGGGCATTTCGTACAGCTGTATGAATCCAGCCAGTGCCAAACCTTCCCCACTGCGATGTCCAAGCACGAAGCGACATTGGTGGAAGGAGAAGCCCTGGATGACACTTCACAATGCTGTTGAACCTTTCTGAGTGTGGAGCTAGTCCACCCCTTGTGGTATAGTCTGGCTAGCATGCAAGTGTGAACTGAATGGTTTAGCAATTGTTGGCAGCCAAACAATTACTTTGTATAACACCGGATGTAACAAAATACATCCTGACTAATGTAACATTGCCATAGATTAAATAAATAAATATTTTTTACAAAGCAATAGCACTTGTACTTATATATCTCTTCACAGTGCTTTACAGACTTCTCTAAGCAGTTTACAGAGTGAGCACATTGCCCCCCAACAACCTGGATCCTCATTTTACCAACCTCAGAAGAATGGAAGGCTGAGTCAACCTTGATCCTGGTGAGATTCGAACTGCCGAACTGCTGGCAATTGGCAGTCAGCAGAATTAGCCTGCAGTACTGCACTCTAACCACTGCGCCACCCTGGCTCTTGGTCTCCTTTAGATCTCCCAAGAGCAGGTTTGATGAATGTCCCTCTTTTCAAGACAGACAGGGTATGGTTACTTTATTTAGGGTAAGATATGGACAGCAGTAAAATTAGTCCTCAATTTACGATCTCAGTTAAGCCCAAAATTGCTAAACCAGACAGTTAACTGAGTTTTGCTCCATTTTACAACCTTTCTTGCCACAGTTATTAAGTGAATCATTGCAGCTGAATAACAGAATTGCAAGGGACCTTTGAGGTTTTCTAGTCCAACTCCCTGCACAAGAAGGAGACCCTATACCTGTGATGGCGAACCTATGGCACGCGTGCCACAGGTGGCACGCATAGCCATATCAGTGGGCACGCCAGCTCAGCTCTGGCACGCATGCACATGCCGGCCAGCTGATTTTCGGGCCTTCTGAGTCCACCAGAAGTAGGGAAACAGGCTGTTTCCTGCCTCTGGAGGGCCTGGGGGTGGGGAGGCCTGTTTTTCTTTCTCACCTGGCTCCAGATCCTTTCTATGCATCTGGGGAGGGTGAAAACAGCCTTCCCCACTCCCTCAGAGGCCCTCTGGAGGCCTGAAACGGCCCATTTCCAAACTCCGGGTGGGACAGGAAGTGATGTTTTTTGCTATTCCCAGCCTCCCAAGACTCCTAGAGAGGCTCTAGAAGAGGCTCTAGAATTCTGGGAGTTGAAGTCCATAAGTCTTAAAGCTGCCACATTTGAAGACCTCTGCTCTACAGGCTGAAGGACACACTGAAATTTGGGAAGCAGCCTGATGACCACCAAGGTTGAATCAGAGGAGACCAGGGTTTTGATCTGTGCTTTTCATTTGGGGGGATGGGTTTTAAGAACTTTCTTCTTCTTCTTTTTTAATGATTTTCAGCCTATTTTAGGGCTTATGTTTTCACACGTTTCCCCAATTAAAGTGGGAGAAAGCTACAGCACCCATTTTCTGTTGTTATTATCCAAAAGGACGACAGAAGTTGGAAAAACACACAGAGAAAGGCAGACGTCCGGAGATTGCATACAGATTGGGGTCTGCCAATTGTCCATCATCGGTCTAGATCAGGATCCCCCAAAGTGTTCGATATCAATCCTCAAGAGTTGATGGGATAATCCATGGGGTCAATGCTGTACTATAATAAGTAATATAATAAGTAATATAATATAATATAATAATATAATAATATAATAATATAATAATATAATAATATAAGTAATAGTTATCAGATTATTTTCATACAATAAATGTGGGGTGGATGGTTGATGTGGAACCACAGGCTGAAGGGGAGGAGGCCCTGCTAGGCAGAGTAAAAAGATATTCATTTTAGAGTCCATTTGGCAGAGGAAACATCTTAGATCAAACATCTTAGATCATCAGGGTTGTCAAACTCAATTTCATTGAGGGCCGCATTAGGGTTGTGTTTGACCTTGTGGGGGGGGGGCTGAGGTGGGTGTGGCCAGGGTGGGTGTGGCCAGCTTGACATCACTCCTGTCGGCGGCGGCGGTGGTGGCCTGAGCGCTCTGCCAGCAAAAATGGGCTCCTAAGCTCCGTTTTCACTGGCAGAGGGTTGCAGGAGGCCGTGGCAGCCAAAAACAAAGCTCAGGAGTCCATTTCTGCTGACAGAAGCATCGCGGGCCAGTCCTTCGCTGTTTCCAGGGTGGTCCCATGGGCCAGATCTAAGTACCCCGCGGGCCAGATTCGGCCCCCAGGCCTTGCATTTGACACCTCTGCTTTACGTGTATATCTGCCATTTCCCAAGGGAAACAGACAGTCTGGCAAGATTTTTGTAAATAGGGGCTCAACAAACCTTAAAGGAGCCTGGGTGGCACAGTGGACTAAGTGCTGTTAAAGTAGTACTTAGTTGCCAGCTGCCTGAAATTACTGCAAGTTCAAATCTCACCAGGCTCAAGGTTGACTCAGCCTTCCATCCTTTCGAGGTAGGTAAAATGAGGACCCGGATTGTGGGGGCAATAAGCTGACTTTGTATAAAAAAGAACACCGCTTAGGGGGGCCCAAAAGCCCTACTAAGCAGGTATATACAAAAGTATGAAGGCTATTGCTTAACGCATTGTAAGCCGCCCTGAGTCTCTGGAGAAGGGCGGCATATAAATCGAACCAATAAAATAAACAATAAAATAAACAATAAACTACTTTGGCCTGTTCACCAAGTTGTTCTGTTTGTTTGCTCCTGACAGCCGATGAAGGACCTGAAATTTCATGAAGGGTTTGATGAGTTGAAGAGTTTGGGGACTCTTAGATGGCTATCAAGAAAACCAAGACCACCATTCTGGATCTAAATATCAAACCTTAAGTTTATTATTCGGTGCACGCGATCCTGCTTATCTGACTCGGTAGAGATTTTTTTTTTCCCTTTCTATTTGGAAGATTTTAAACCACACCACCTCCCATCATGCACAACAGCAGTTGTAATGCCCAATTGCCTCTTCCTGTAGACCAGGGCCCTTGATTGAGATTGAATTTTGAATTATTTACAATCCGTTTCATCATTTTCCAAGATGGGTTTCTTGCCAGGAACTTCAATGCCCACTTGAGTTGCTTGCTACTCAACATTGCCCTTAGCCTGACTCCACTTCAAGAAATTAAGAAAAATAGCACTAATGGGGCATTCATTAAGGCTGATTGCTTTTGGAAAAATAAGGATGCAAATGTCTTCTTTTGCTGAGAACAATTCCAGCAGAATGCCCAAGGAAGGAACAACAGCCCTGGCAATAATAACAAAGCATGTTAACGTGTTTCAAATAACTTCATTTCATTCAGCTAAAGCCCTCTTCACATGAAGATTTCAAAGTATTTTCCTGGCATTAACTTAATTAAGTTAATTTGGCCATTGGATGCTGTGTTATAAGTAGGCGTTGTGTGTAAGACTGTTCTAACCCTGGTGCATCTTCATTAAATATTCTTTTTATTTACTTTGATTAAACTATCGGTATGCCAAATTTTCTGAACAATGCCTACCCAAGAAGCAATAGGTGAAACGTAAGCCTATAAGTATTGTAATACAGGATAGATAGATAGATAGATAGATAGATAGATAGATAGATAGATAGATAAACAGACAGATGAAAGAGAGAGATGAGAGAGAGAGATTAGATAGATAGATAGATAGATAGATAGATAGATAGATGAAAGAGAGATGAGAGAGTAGATAGATAGATAGATAGATAGATATAGATAGACAGACAGACAGACAGATAGATGAAAGAGAGAGATGAGAGAGAGAGATGACAGAGAGAGGGATGACAGAGAGAGAGATGATAGATAGATAGATAGATAGATAGATAGATAGATAGATAGATAGATAGATAGATGAAAGAGAGAGTGGTGAGAGTTAGAATTAGAAATAGATAGAATAGATAGAGAGATACGATAGGTAAAATAGATAAATAGAGATAGACAGAAAGACAGACAGACAGACAGATAGATAGATGAAAGAGAGAGATGAGAGAGAGATGATAGATAGACAGATAGATAGATAGATGAAAGAGAGAGTGATGAGAGTTAGAATTAGAGATAGATAGATAGATAGATAGATAGATAGATAGAGATAGATAGATAGATAGATAAACAGACAGATGAAAGAGAGAGATGAGAGAGAGAGATTAGATAGATAGATAGATAGATAGATAGATAGAGATAGATAGATAGATAGATAGATAGATAGATAGATAGATAGATGAGAGAGTAGATAGATAGATAGATAGATATAGATAGATAGACAGACAGACAGACAGACAGACAGATAGATGAGAAGAGAGAGAGATGAGAGAGAGAGATGAGAGAGAGAGATGAGAGAGAGAGATGACAGAGAGAGAGATGATAGATAGATAGATAGATAGATAGATAGATAGATAGATGAAAAGAGAGGAGTGAGGTGAGAGTTAGAATTAGAAATAGATAGAATAGATAGAGAGATACGATAGGTAAAATAGATAAATAGAGATAGACAGAAAGACAGACAGACAGACAGATAGATAGATGAAAGAGAGAGATGAGAGAGAGAGATGATAGATAGATAGATAGATGAAAGAGAGAGTGATGAGAGTTAGAATTAGAGATAGATAGATAGATAGATAGATAGAGAGAGAGAGATACGATAGATAGAATAGAGAGAGATACGATAGATAAAATAGATAGATAGATGGATAGAACAGAGAGAGAGAGAGATACGATAGATAAAATAGATAGGACAGATAGATAGATAGATAGATAGATAGATAGATAGATAGATAGATGGATAGATCAAATTGTCTCTGGAAGAAAGACAGAGAGTTCAACATTCAAACAAAATACAGGTAGCCATTCTTTTAGTGACTGTCTGAAGTTACAACCGCACAGAAAAAAGTGGCTCACAATCAGTCCTCACACTCACGACCGTTGCAGCATTCCCCATGGTCACATGATCAAAATTTGGTTGCTTGGCAACTGGTATGTATTTATAATGGTCGCAGCATCCTGGGGTCACGCGACCACCATTTGCCACTTTCCCAGCCAGCTTCTGGCAAGCGAAGTCAATGGGGAAAGCTGGACTCGCTTAACGCCCACCGCACCTATTTAATAAATGCAGTTATTCCCTTAGCAACCACGGTGAAAAGGTTGTAACATCAGGCCCAACGGCCTTGCTTAGCAATGGAAATCCTGGTCCCCAATTGAGGGCTACCAGTATTCATCCCCTGTCCCAGTTAATTCCTTTTCCTGGTTGTTGTAACACTGAGCATCCTCCTACGTGTCTCAGAAACATTAAGGGGTGGAAGAAAAATAAAAGAATACTTGGCAATTGATAAACGTCAGCCCCATGCTGCTGCCTTGGGGGATCTAATCCGGACGGATGCCTTTCCAGGGTTCTCGATTTCAGGGCGAAAGGAACTGCAATTCATACTTTCATTGGCTGGTGTACAATGAAAACAACGGCATGTCAAGCTTTTCCCGTTTAAAAAACAAGGCCATTCACATCCAGATCTCTCGGTCCGGCTGACGGAATAACACCCTGTGTTTTTAGCACCGCTTTGGGTTAAGCTCTGCAAAGAACAGAAATAAGCAATGTTGATTTGTGGTCATGAATACTCTTCTCCTCTGGCTTTAACTACGACTGGGTGAGACTTTACTAACAGGCTTTAGCAATATGAATGTTTAATTAAAGTTTGACTTAAGTTGGTTTTTATTTAAAAAATAAAAAAAGCTAACACCAGAAGCGTTCAATGTGGAAATATTGCTTTTAAAATGAATTGGAATAGCCTTTTCTCCATCTCAGCGTCTCCCAGGGACTGGACAATCATTCCATCCTCAACCAGCCAGCGCAGCTGACCAGAGATACTGTAGAACAGGGGTCCTCAAATTTTTTAAACAGGGGGCCAATTCACGGTCCCTCAGACTGTTGGGGGGGCCGGACCGGCTGGGTGGGTGTGGCTAGGCGGTCATGTGACTGAGTGGGTGTGGCCAATTTAGCAGTCTATTAAATAATACACACAAATTAACATAAATAACATAATAAATAACATAATAACATAATAATTAATTAAACTTTAATTTGTTATGCTCCTGGGGGTGGAAAGAACCG